GCATTAGGCAGTGCCACAGCTAGTTTGACCAACTTAATACTGTGTTTTGGTATTTAAACTGATAATAATGCATCATAAATTACAATAAATGTGTCCTGTTGTTTGTATTTAAACTCTTAAACCTCCTGCAAACCCATACGTCACTCACATAGTTTTCTATTTCTGTTTTGTTGATTTTCTTGAACCTCAATTACAGCATTATTGTTGTTGTTACCATGTCCTGCTTCATCGTCTATTTGACTCCAAATGGCACCGTAATTTAAAAAATGAAGATGATGCTGGAGTCAAAAAGTCTTAAAACTAGCAACTAAGACTGTAATTTTATCCAGAAGATGTTTACTGAGGTAACAGATCAAGAAAGAAGTAGGGTCCTTTTCAGAGACATCTAACAAATCGGACTTCTTTTTGCAACCAGAGGAGTCGCCCCCTGCTGGCTGTTAGAGAGAATGCAACTGGCTTCACATCTGAAAATCAAGTCTTTTACCTTACTAGCATGTCCATATGGTGCTTTTTGTCTAATTGGAGACACATCATGAGCAAAATAAGCATTCCCACCTTGAAACTGCAGCGTCCTGATGACTGTTTTAAAAACACAGATTCAGGCATCTACGGTGTCATTGATACCAAACCTAAAGAACCAATCCTCTCAGCTTGCTGGGTGGGACTTTTCATTATCATTTGCCTTCTTTAGAATCAGTTTCCAGGTCAGACATGCATGGCTGGATTAATCCAGTAGCGTAGTATAGTTCTAGTGTATGAGCAGACTCGGAGGTGAGCTGGTGTGCTTGAGCTGCAGCGAGTCAGGAGGAATGAGTGAAGAAAGATCCACACATTACAGTTACATCTAAGCCAGTTTAACGATTTTAACTTGTAAATATGTTAGTCTGATAGAGAGAGATGAGATATTAGAGGTTAAATCAACAACCAGAGAGGGACTTGATCTTTGTAGATAATAAAACAAAAGCACCTTATTTGGAAAAACTCACATTATTGGTGTGTTCATGAAGCCACAGAGTGACCCTGTGAGTTGGACAAGTCATTTATCTGAGGTCATTAATGAGTCATTTCAACTGTATTTTTAATTCTGCTTGTGGTCTAATAACAGCACAAGCAGCTCCTGCACTGACATCGGCAGTATGTGTTCTGTGTGCAACATCAGCGTCTTCTTTCCAAACAGCTGGAGAGAAAATATCAGTCTGTGGTGAAGCACTCTCAGCGCAAACCCTGTCCTGTAGCGCCCTCTGTTGACTCACACCAGCCTTGCAGCAGAAATGACACCCTGCCCACCGACACACAAGATTCACAGATTCTGCTGAAATGAAAGCGTTTCCACATGACAGGATTTCAAATGTAGTGATTTATTTCATGCTAAAGCTTGAAGATTGATCAATGTAAACCCCCTTAAAATAAACAGTAATAATAAATACAGCAAATCAGTCGTCATAGAGAGAAAATCATTTGCACTCAAGTAACTCAAGTAATAAAAGAGATATGAAATTGGATTTCTCAAACGGTGGAGCGATTCAGTCGAGATGTTTATCTCAGCACTTGACTGCGGAGCAGAGTACATCTGGTAAGATAACAGTGAAAAGTTAGATTAGACCGTGTTCTCAAGTAGGGAACCGATTAGACAGATATGGTGGATACATTCATTGTATTTAGTCAGCTATTTACCCACAACAGAATCATCAAAAGTGAACAAAACCTAATTTTAGAAAAAAGTAATGATTACAAATCGAGCACAGACATGAATTAGGGAGTGTCGTCTGTGCTTCATGCAATCCCTGGACAGCAGATAGTGAGTTTCCCCCCCTTTGACCACTACAGTAAATCTACACCGGAGCAGGCGTTGTGTAAAGGCCTTTCCGTACAAGGGGCTTGATTGCATATCTAGAAACTGACACTATCGTAAAATACAAGATTCCATGTGTACAATTCAGGGAAAAAAACACATTGATTGTTTCCAGTGTCTAGTAATCTCTAACTAGGCCCGTTAAGGTACAAAGTGAGACGTTTTCACTCTCAGTCGAACATGAAAGAGGGCGATGAGGAAGTACCTTTACGTTTCAATAAATAAATGCTGTGATTTTTCTCTATTCTGTTTGGGTGGCAAGAATCGGAACCGTCTTGGGTTTGGGGGGAAAAAAAGTGCTGAAAACACACAATCCTGTGACACCTGGCAGCTGAATACACAACCCTGCTTAGACATTCTGTACCGCCTCAGCAACACACTTTGGTTTTCCTCAGGTTCATGTCCACACACACACACACACACACGGCAGACAGACGCTCTAAAAAAACTCATTCAGTAGTAAGCACATGTAGACGCAGATATTAAAACACGAGAATCCGAAAGCGTTCACGCACCCGTCTGAACATTCCACCAGTAGTTTAAAAGTCATCACCCTGATATTTAAGCGAAACTCGGAACCAATCGTGTGCTTTTATTCTCTCTCTCTCTACACTTTGCACCAACATTGGAAGCAGCATTGTAGTAGCAGGTAAACTAATTTACCCGTTAGCTTGTTCGCAGATAGTGTCAAATTCATGAAAACAAGAAGTCGCTAAATTGAGCGGAAGTGAGGAAAAAAAAAATTGCAGGTTTTGCTTGTAAACATAACGTCGGAGTGGAGCGTATTCTGGCTCTAGGGTACTAAAAGATAAAAAAAAAAAAAGAAACCCCATCTTCTGAAATCAAGCGTCTTCAAAGGGATGAGAGGAGCTTCTGTCTACCTCCGTCCGTCCTCCTCCTTACCCCTCCGTCCTCCCGCGGATGAGTCGATAGCGCCCGCTGAGGGGATAATTCGATGGACAGCATCTGTGCGTCCTGCTGCGCATATACAAGCACATGAAGCTCATTAAAAAAGACCAACCAAGCAGAGGAGACAGGGGACAATTATCAGAATCAGTCAAGTCAGAAGCTGCGAGAAAGAAAAAAAAAGAAGAAATCGAATGAGAGACACTAAACTGTAAGTTTCTCCGGCAGAAAAATAAAAAAAAAAAAAAAAGAAATCGAATGAGAGACACTAAACTGTAAGTTTCTCCGGCAGAAAGTGAATAAACGTGCTTACGCAATGTGCAACAAGCAGTGAGACATGTTTTGCGCCGGCTTCGTAGTTCAGTTCACGCCTCCTCCTGCAGCTGATTTGACACACAACTCCACACACTGGATTTTATAGTTCTCTAAGTCCCTCGCAAAAAGGGGCCTATTCTAACACCGGCGAGCAAAACGTCCGCTCAGAAACTGAATTCAAAACACCTAAATCAATATACAGTACCACTAAACCATTACTTGATCTGTGCTCGCCTTGTTTTTATTCTAAAGCTCGGTCACACCAGAACATCCACATGTCAACATATTTGTTTCTAGATTAGCGACGACTAACTAATCTGCTGATTGTTGTCATCATCCATCATTTCGTCTTTAAGGTGAGACATACAGGCAAGAACATTTTTTACAGAAAGTTTATTCCACTGCCCCTTTGTCTAACTGCGTCTGCAACTTCTCATTCTAACACATATTTTTAAAGCCTTTTCTCACAATTAGTTTTTCCTCCCTCTCTCTCTGAAACAGAAATCTCCACTTTAATAGCACTTACAAAACTTTCCACTTTTATTCCTGCCGCTGCTCTGAAGCGTTCTACTCGTTCATGTATCAATCACAGCCTGACTTTTGGAACATTTTCTTCTTAAAAAGATGTCAAAAATAGATGTTTGGTTTTTTTGTTTGTTGACAGTATTGTCTGATTTATGGAGTAATAAAGAGAGACGTCCAAAATCCCCTCTGTAGAAACCTTTGACTCTTACACGTCAATAAGATGAAATTGTGAAGCTGGCTGCATTCAGCGCTCAGATTTCTGGTCTGGAAGTGTATGCACTGAAAGCTTTTGTAGATATAGAAAGTATTATTTAAATAGATATTTAAAAACGAGATGTTTTATTGAAAAAATGAGGATTTATTAGTGAATTAAAAAAAAAAAAAGTTCCTATTTACCTGCAGTGTCTCATCTTAAACTAGGTTTGGTCGCCCAAGAAGGTCACCACCTGTTCTGTATTTTTTCTACTGTTTCTTATGACAAGCTGTTTCACCATTTAAAAGCTAGACTACATATATGTGTATATATGTGCTGCAGATATGATTCAAGTCCTCCTAGTCAAAAGGAACATTTGAGATATCTACATCCTTATTTCTTCCTTGGACAAATGACATCTCTTTCACCATGCATGTCTCGATATCCACATTTCACATTCCTGATACCTGCAGCTGAATCCTGACTTGTTGTAATCCTGGTTTTAGATATCTACAGGCTAACTCTGACTAGTCATAATTCTAGTTCAAGATATCTTCCATTCCCCTTAATTCAACATATCTACATGTTCCTTTTAAGATATCTTAAATTAGGATTGAACTAGTCAGAATGATGCTGCAGATTCTACCTGGTCAAAATGCAATGATGGA